TCAAATGCTAGTCAGGATCGGCGTATTTGTTTATTTATGCATTCAATAGAAGTGCCAAAAAAGACTTGTAACCAAGGGTGAGTGAGAATTTTCGAGAATAAAACTGTCTAGTGGAGGCCCATAGCCGCTGTTCACACTATCAGCGTTTACGGTAAATAGGAAATAGAAGGTAATTGAAAGCCGAACAATTTCACTTTGGAGTCGGACCTACGTCCTATAAGTACGCTCCCTGGTAAATGTCGGCACCAACTGGCAATTGTGCCTTTACAGCCCCACAACTAAAGGTGATAGGTCCCTCCACAGCCCTCGGCCCAGTCTTTAGAGACAAACTGTTCACTCATCTCCGTGATCCTGCCCCTTGCACCATTTGTGAAATGAATGGATCCGCAGCTGCGATATCAGATATCATGTCATTTTCTCCGGTTAAAAGTGTACAAGGCGGAGAGGTAGTGACATATGATACCCGTGTGCCAACTCTATACTCCGCCCGCGCTGCCGTACGGCCAGCTGCACGCTTAATCACAGCCATGCGAGGTACTTGCCTGCGCCTTCTCTTTTCTGATAGCTCACTAACTGAAGTGCGTGTTTCGCTGAGGGATCTTGACATCGACGCAAGTTTTGCACGCTGAGGATAACGCGGGCGGAGTATGAAGACGGCGTCGGGGTATCGCTTCCCTACAGCTCCGTTCCCGTACATTTTTGAGCGGATGAAGTGGCACGCTGCTGCATTTGACCCATTCACCTCTCATATGGAAAGGACTTTACTCGGTGGTGAGTGGACAGTTTGTCTTTGAGTTTGACTCGGATGGCGCACAAGGCCACCTAGGCATAAGGACCCTTACACTATACAAAAGTACAGTTAACTTGTTGGTACATGAAATTTGTTTCATGTATTTATTGAGCTATTTCAACTTTGCAGAGATCTGTGTTCATGGATCAGTGACATGAAAGCTGTGATCTCGGCCGATGAACTCGCTAAAGATGTCGCTGGTGCTGAAGCACTTTTGGAAAGCCACCAGGAGCATAAGGTAACGGCTTTTCTATAGCCGTGAACTTGTTATGTACCATCAAAAAATGTCCTAAAATCGGATTTCTAGGGAGAAATTGATGCTCGTGAAGACAGTTTCAACCAGACGGCTGTTTCCGGTCAAGGTCTTCTTGATATGGGAATCCCAGAAAGCGACGAAGCTAGTTATATATTTTTACTTTTCCTGCTTTCTACGAGAGAAGTTGCTTTTCAGGTCCGTCAAAGGCTAGAGCATCTGGCCCATGAAAAGGCCGCTCTGCTTGCTCTTTGGGAAGAGCGCCGTATTCTGTATGAGCAGTGCATGGATCTTCAGCTGTTTTATCGTGACACCGAACAAGCTGAGACATGGATGAACAAGCAGGTTCGTTCTGAAGCGCTTTATCTACCCTTACTGGATATCATTCGTACTAATCCCTCAGATTTCCAAGTATCGTTATTCAGGAAGCTTTCCTTGCCAATCAAGACCTCGGCGACTCGCTCGATGCTGTTGAATCGTTGATCAAGAAGCATCAAGACTTCGAAAAGTCATTAGCTGCACAGGAAGAGAAGATTATTGCTCTCGATGAGTTTGCCACGAAACTCATCCAGGTAACTGATTTCTGTTATTTGTCTTGGGTAAGCGACCAACATCAACCATACCTCTCTTTGTTTCCAGGGTCAGCATTATGCTGCAGATGATGTGTCAAGAAGACGTCATGCCCTACTTGACAGAAGACGTCGTCTCATGGACCGTGCCGCCGATCGTGCTCGTCAGCTACATGAAAATTATAAAAAGCAGACATTTAATCGGTTTGTATACTTACAAACATGTTACCCACCTCATTGGTGAGTGTTTCGAAAGAATTGATGGTCTAGGGACTGCGATGAAATGGAGAGCTGGATCAAAGAGAAGCTGAAGACAGCTAAAGATGACTCCTACCTTGACCCTACAAACATTCGTGGGAAACTTCAAAAGCACACCAATTTCGAGCAAGAACTCAAGGCCAACCGTAACCGTCTGGATGAAATCAACGATACTGGCGCTCAGATTATTGAGAGCGGTCATCCTGAAGCTGACGATGTATGCTCTTTCTGAACTGTGAACTCAGTTCCCCTTTCCAATTGGATTGAGAACGACCAATTTCAGGTACGTCGTCGTCTAAAAGACGTGGATGAGTTGTGGAATGAGCTTGTAGATGCGACGAACAAGAAAGGAGCGAAACTTCGCGAAGCTGGCGATGAGCAACAGTTCAATCGTAACATCGAAGATGTCGAGCTATGGCTTAGCGAACTCGAAGGACAGGTCGCTTCTGAGGACTTTGGCAAGGATCTCGTATCGGTCCAGAATCTCCAGAAGAAGATAGCTCTCCTTGAAAGCGATTATCTTGCTCATCAAGATCGCGTGGATGGAATCAAGGCCTTGGTGAGTGGGTGTTGACCTAAAGATGTTATTTTATAAGTTTTCATTACGGGCTCGATGATGCCTCATCGTAGAAGTATTTCCTGAGATGTGGAGTTGCAGGCCAAGAAGTTCGCTGACGATGAACATTTCAACGCCCCTGTTATTATTCGCAAACAGGAAGCCTTGCAGACACGTTTCCAGGTAAGCTTACTCCTTGTTTTACGATTTAGAGGTTTTTTGTGGCTCATACTGTTAAGCGTGATTGACTGATTGGTAGAGCTTACTTCTTGTGTGTTTTGGGATTTGCTTATATGCATTTTTCTTGGCCTCCATGCCATCCGTCATTTTTAGAACCTCCTTTTTCGTGACCCTCTTGAAAACCCTATAGAACTAAGCGTGCGTAGTTCTTCTCTATTTCATTAGTAATTCAGCTTCTTCAGAGACATTAAGATAGAATCTCATAGGCATTTCAGTAGAGTATTAAGAGCCTAAGTTTATGCTACTCTCAAGATTTTTCTTATAAATCTACCGTATGACTCATCAGGTTTTTTTTACTAATGTTACCCGTCTCCTGTTTTCTTTTTCTTTTGTGTTTTTGTTGTTTGTTTGTTTCCTTCTTTTTTTTGTTAGCTTGTTTTTATTTATTTTTTTTTTGGTTTTTTTATCGTCGTTTAATTTTTTTCTCTTATAATAGACTATTCCTTCTATCTTAGTATTTTTTTTAGTTATGATTTTACTTTGTGCCGACTTCTTTCTTTACAACCTTTTTTTTTCTTTACCTGTATTTAGTTTGCCAGTATATGTATCTTTTCATATGAATTCCTAGCTAGTCCTCATTTTTTCTGTATGTATTTTCGGTCCAACATTGTAATATTCAATTATTTTTTTTGATGGCTTATTTTTTCTTTGGCTTCCTATATCTCTGTAATATATTTGATTCATCATTTTATTTGTCTGCATTTTACTGTATTGTATCATAAATGTCAAAGTTATTTTTTTTTTGTTTTTTTTTTGGTGTTTTGGTTATTTTTGTGTGGTTGTGGTGTGTTGGCTTGTTTGGCTGTTTTATTTCATTTTGTGTTTTTTGTTTTTATTTGGACGCAGGCCTGGTCGCCCTAACACATGACGACGCTACACACATGGGAATGCCACCCGTAGGCCATGTGACACGTGCATACGATATTAACTCACGATCAAACAAAATCCATATCTTTTAACATGCATGTTTTAGTAGTTTTCTCTTAATTCATTGTTATTAGTTCAGACCCTTGTCTACTCTATATCGAGCATTAATATCATACTACACTACTTAGGCATAATACTTTGGTAAGATCACCATTTGCACGGACTGATTTTGCTCGCAACACGATGTTTGCTTTCGAACACTAGCCTGAGAAATGCTATCGATACAATGCTCGATTTAATGGTCAAAATATAGGTTGAAGATTCTGAACGTTATACCACGACACCTTTTCTTATGAAAACATTCGCTGCGAAGTAATTCTGGCCATCTATTCAACGGAGAAGTAGCCACCAGTTTTCTATACTAAGTATTTAACTACTCATAACTGCCTCTATCCCAGTTTCGCATTCCAATTTACCAAAAAAAGCGCCTCGTGGATCTCCGAACTAGTGTGTACCTCGCTGTCGCCTTCGAGAAGAAAACGCGCGTGTCCCACGCGGCCAAAAAGTAAAAACGCGCATGTCGTCAACGTGTTAATAATTGGACAACCATCACGGACGCCAAAGACAACCATAGGAAGCGAGAATTGAAGCGAAGCAATCCCTTAGATGCGAGAACTTATGAGACCTCTGAATTAAACTAGCCTGGTGGCCCTTATACGAAAGGCTCCAGGTGACAATTGGAAAATATGTTCGCCAAAAATTTTGTTCAATAAGTGTAGCACTCTGATCGCAAAGAATTTAGACCTGACTTGGGTTCTCGATACAGGAGCCCTGATCTTGACAGCGCTTCCTCTAGTCCTCGATGTAACAAGTAAAAAATTCATCCGATCTAACCGTTGCTATACCTGTTGACAGGGTACAGCATGGAGATGTGCGAAATGGCGGTGTGAGTACGACCCCCCCCCTCCTGCTCTAACTGACAACCAGATGCATGTTCACACAAATGGCTTCCTGAAATGGAATCTGGATTTTCGAAAGGCGGACTCTGCTCTAAAATCCAGGCAATAATAGGCTGTTTCAGCCTCATGCAATATGAGGCTGAACAACAGCCTCGCATTACCTACAATTTTGTCTTAGGATTCAAAATAAAACTCGTCGTTCGACAACCATGTATGACATGCAACTTGTAACAAGGAACACAATCGAAACAGCGACTAATGGTGATCATTGATAAGCTAAATTGGTGAAAAAAATAGCCCCAAGGTCAGTGTGTCAGGCCCCAGATGTGCATTCAATGAATGGTGACGGAGAAATAATAAAAACAAACATGAAAAATACAAAAAATGCGGA